GCATTGCAAGAATGCGTATATGAGGATTACATCTGTTGCCTAATGTAGAGCGACCCTTGTCCCTCAATTATAATCATGCTTCAAGCCCAGTGGTTTGTCTGCACCTCAGTACAAACACTGCTATTGTTTTCACTGCTGACACTGTTTAGCTAGTCCCTGATTTATCAAGTGTTCTGATGTTTTGGCTACAATATTGTGGTATTTAAAACCTTCCAGCAACACATTTTTTTGAGAATGAATATAGCAAAAGAAGAAAAACATTGTAAAAGTTTTCTACTGAGTTGCTAGTAATGCTGTAATTAATAATGTTGCAATTCAATGCAGAAAGATTTCTATTCATAACATCCAAGAAATAGTTCCTTTAGACAATTGCCTCCTCCAGTGACTGAGTCCTCCTGCCCAAAGATGGTGAGACAAGTCTTAACCATCAAGGGAGCATTCTGGCTGCCATTCCTCCGAGGAAGAGCTACTCATTTTTCCAGGCCATGCAGTGAAGCTTCTTCGTCAACACCATCATTCAAATGCTTCAATTCTTCCCCGAGATGGACTGGTGCAGTGACTGCGACCGCGGGCTCCAGCACAGCCACTAGTGAGGATGGCGCAGGGCCAGGCGGCGCGGGGCATAAGCCCTCTGAGCTACCGGTTTACAGCTCTATGTATCTCGTGTGATTCTACCATTAAAAATGGACCGTAAACATGATTAAGGATTTCGTATGGTCCGGTTGGGGGTGGGGCAGGGGGAAGGGAAGGGTACGTCCAATGGGGGGAGGAGGAGTGGGAAAACCAAGTGAAACTGAGTTAGCAAGGTGGGTGCCACCAACCCTAGTGCCTATGCATCTGGTCACTCTTGTCCAATCCCTTCACCACCTGCCACCGACTTGTTGACTTTGACCCCATCCCAAACTTGACTCTTCTGAGTTTCCCTTTCGTTTTCCGCTTCTATTCTGCAAGCTGAGAAACAAAATCAGTTTCGTTTCCCTCGAGCGGCCGGCCCCGCCCCCAAACAGCGGGCTACAAAGCCGGCCTCCGGGGCAGCGGCGGGGCGCGAGACTGGCGCTCGGACGCCCGGAGGCAGCGGACGCCCTGAGTCGCCCTTCGCCGTCCTCTTGCCTCGCTCCGCGGGCGGCTCAGCTCCGC